GCAGATCTTACAAAAAGATTTTGTTTTGTAGTATGAACAGAGAAACTTCTTACAGATTTTGAGCATTAAATATTGCCCATCTGTGTGTGCCAGTGAATATCTAAATGAGTGTGTTTTGCCCAGGACTAAAATTAGTCTATTCTTTCAATGCTACCAAACTACCACATGCTGCCTAACGTACAGTATACTGTACATCCAAATGGGCTGGATGGGTCACATGGGCTCCTCTTGTAACCTTTGAAAGGATGAGTGTTTGGAAATGTTGAGCTGAATTCTATTAAACCTTTTTTATTTAGTTTTTGTTTTAATCACTTTCATTTTTCCTTTTCTTGTTTTTTGCCAAAATAATGTTAAATCTTTCCTATTCTTAAAAAAAAAACTCCATTCCCCAAAATCAGAAGGATCTTGCTCAAGAAAAAAATAAAATAAAAATAAACACTTTACTGCAATTCCTAAAGTCTGATTTAGTAAAAGGCCTGTAGGTCTATTATGTATTATTTGTGCAGCATGCTGCCTTTAAGAGAGATCTATTTTTAGCATGAGCCTCCCTTCTCCTCTGACTCTTCCCTTCATTTTCTGGGTGATTTGTCCTAAAGGCAGAAGGTCTTTTCCTCAAGGAAGCAAATGTTGGTTTGTCCTGCATTCACTAACTTGCTTAACTTCAGCTTAACTTGGCTCGTCCTATGCCAGTTTTAATAACAATAATGGAAGAAAAACAGACAAAATATTCTTTGCTTAGTAGAAATTTGTGAATGACTTTGGTGGCGTCACAGCTATCAACAAATCAAAGCTGATCTTGTCTTAACAACAAACAAATGAAGACTTTTCAGTCAGCCTAACATCCCCTTGAAATCAATCTGTTTCAAAATATTCCTAACATAACATCTTACCTGCTACTGTAATACCTCATACTATTGCTATGATCACAATCATTTTGAGTATTGTCTAATTAATTAATTTGCTTTACCATAGTCTTGAATCACAGCTGAACTCCTGTTCTCAGCGATTATACACACACATACTTATTTTCCAGTAACAAAGAACTACCATTGCTTTTTCAAAAGCTTCAGAAACACAGTAACAAATGCATGCATTATATGTCTCCCAGAAGTGGTTATCAGGGCACAGTGGCACAGATAAATGTTTAGTAGCTATAACATGCAATTCTGTCTCTCGGGTTCTGCTGTAGATGAGAAGCATTCTATGGATTTGTTATTTGATGTAATAGACGCAGGTTAGATGCAATAATGGATTTTTGTGCTCTCTACCTCCCAGCCAAATGCCTACAAATATAGAAATACTTAGAGCTAATCATGCGGGGACTTAATTGGTGTTTGCTAAAACTGTTAAAGCACTGATGCTCTCAGGCACTGAAAAGCAATGTATCCATTCTGAGCAAGTCCGTCTGAAAGCACTGGCTCTGAGAAAATGCACCTTTCACACCAACAGCCAGGAGCCTTCTGTATGAGACTTTGGGATTTTGTAGATGTCAGATATCCACACTGTCAAAGGTGATTCAGCCTCTGAAAGAAGTGAATAAGTCACTGCCTAGAACAGCGTTGAAGCCCTGCAAGTCTACCTGCTACTCACCCAGGTTTGTAACACACTTAACAAAAAACACAGAAAAGAAAATGTTCCCGAAAGAACAGCAGGTCTTTAACTTGTCGTGGGACTTTAAAGAAGCAAAACTAGCAAGATGAAAGGTTCTGTTCTTTTCCATTTACCTGTCATGTTGCAAATGTAATCGTTTCATCATATTAAATCAAAAGGGCACCGCAGACAACATTTTTTAAAGCTGACCTGTTGTGACATGCAAGCGTTTCCATCAAAATAATTATTGTCTAATGAGCACCCTTGAGCCCATAATCGGCCAGCTAAGTGAGCTGCATATGCAGTATGTGTGCTGCTGATGGGTGCTGCAGAGCACAATCGCCACCTGCTGGTCGGCTGTAAGTACTGCAACCGGCAGAAAGGAAACTGTAGCCATCCAAGCCTTTTGGTGTATAGTTTGCCTTTGGAGTTCATGAATGGAATTTGGATTGTCTACTCCTTCAGCATTATATTTAGGCATTTTAATGTATAAGATTTGTATGTCTATACTGTATACACTACTCTTCATATGAAGCACAGCTATAGACCTTTTATGTGTGTTTTTTTTGGCAGCAGGTGATCTCTATAAGCATGACTGACATTTAAAGTGAAAAGCTTGGGTTATGCTGCAGCCTGTAATTAATACAGACCGATTTCCTTATCTTATTGTCAGATGTTTGTCGTTTATTTTCTTATCAGTGATGTTAAAAATAATCCCCAGGGTTTTGCAATTTCTTGTGCTGAAAGCTAGATTTTATCTGGGGAAGCTGCAGAGAGAGTCTAAGTGGTGCAGTTTTCATTAAACAGGGACTCTGGGTCATGCAAGATCGCAGTCCAGCAATATAAAACCGTGACCTCATCCTTATTTTCTGTGTTAATTAGCAGGAAGCTGTATTGCTGGTTTAGAGCAATGCAGTGAAATTAGAAAATGGATTGTGAATTTATGGAAGTCTAGCATTTTGAGGTTATTTAGCATAAATCATAGCTGAACAAGCATAAGCAGAATAAAAATAAATTGTATAATACAGTACTGTAGAGAGTATGGCAAACTGCAGGGATTGTGCGCTCAGGAAGTTTGGAATTGGAATGTGTGCTCTTTGGTGCAGAATTGAGTGAAATAAGTTGTTCCAAGCATATACAGATTGGACAAACAGAAGCAGGGCTGTTGGCTGTCAAAGGTCCTGGGGTTAATTGTTTGTAGTTAGTATTCTGTTCCCTCTTAGTAGGTCATATCTTTCACACTCTCGGAAGAGCAAAGCATTCCTAATTAAACTGAAAGAGTGATATAATTAACAAAGGAAACGTGAAGCATTTCAAAACATGCTTATTAATTTCTGCTGCGGTGCATCTGCAATTCTAACAAGCCTCCTACAATCAGTGAAGACACGTCAGTGCCTCTGGATGCCAACCTCTGTCCTGGTTTTGTGCATGTTCCCATCCTTGGCAGCGCTTTTTAGAAATTGATTTTTTTACTTAGCCTCAGCCCAGAAAAACTAAGGATTAGTTTGTCACATACCGAGAGGCACTCAAAATGCAACAAATGAGAAATGGCAAAAAAGATTGTGTGTCGGCTTTTAAATGCCTCTCATCATTTACTCCAAAACCAATCTGACGTATCGGTGGAGCAGCGTTGCGAGACCTGCATCTGCAGTCTGGAGCACACACAGAGTTCACTGTCAGTCAGCCTGGACGTCTCAGAAGCACAAAGCTAATATAATACAGTACGAATAAACATGTGAATAAATCAATCAATCACACAAGTGTACTGTAGGTATTTCTGGATATTCATTATTATGTTTAAAAAAGAGTTATTATCACAGTAGTACGAGTGTTAATAATGTGGAAATGCCTTTTGGATACATTTGAAAGAATAACATATTCTTTAATTTCTTTTTTAACTCCCAGCAAATATTTAGTAATTAGCTAATGCTTGCCTTTTGAGTTTTAAATGTTAAATTAACTCTATCAGACAGCTCATTATATTACAATCTCACAACCAAAGTGAGCCTGGTACTGTGGCAGTAAGCACATTGGTTTAGCTAATTTTATGCTGTACAGTGACAGTTTTGTGAGGAAGAGTTTTGGTTTAACTTTTCACTTCGTGTTTCACTTTAACTCCATCATTGCAGCGTCTCTTCAAGACAGCTTGTTACCTGGAAGAGTTTGTAAAACAGAACGACTGCTATCTTTACCATCTGTAAATGTTAGATTAGTTAGTTTAATGTGTCCATCCGAAGTGCCCAAAAACATACTGCCATATTGCCAGCTCCTGTGTACTGCAAAAGGATGCAAAGTGTCTGGAAATAACAATGGATAAAACCAGAGTATGCTGTGTCACTGCAAGTGTGCTGCCCATTAGTGTGGTTCCATTTCTCAAGAACTTCTGTCACCATGGCAACCAGTGGAAACATCAGGTTGAAAACCTCAGGGCACCGAAAACGTAACACCAACTTACAGTGTCGGTGCTAAAATAAAGATACAGTATGTGTTTATGTTTCTATATGTACTGTACAGTGTTCAGAATTTTATTCATGTGTTTAGGATTAGGAATGACATGGCAGCATACAGTATGTAAGGCGTGTGCCCTGAACTGGTGTCAGTGCTTTATTTCTTTTTGCTCTTTTGCTGTCAATGCTGTTTTAATGAATTGGCTGGCTGATTGATTGGGTTAATCAGTAATTCTACAGTCTCATCATGAGAGACCTTCATAGTGGGAACCACAGGATGTTTTTTTCTGTGTGCATAAAGGTGCCCCTGTAAATGTCAACTGCAGAACACTTTGCGTAAAGCGAAGCGATATCTGCGTTATTATGAAAGATTCTTTATGTATGGTAACATCATCATCTCTATGAAAAATCTCAAAGCTCCATTTTAATGTCACGCTTGAAAAAATCCCCTTGTAAACCCGTCTGGAATAAAATCCTTCGTTTGGACAAAATGAAGATTTGTAACCATGTTTTCCTTCCTTTCTTTTTTTTCAAAAACCTCGCTGCAGATGGTTAGGTTGCTCTATGAAGCTACCTAATCCCCCCACTTAAATACCTTTCCACTTAGAGAGCCTGTCCTGCAGCCTTGCTGGAAACAAAAGACTTAAAAGTGAGGAACACATCAAAGAAGTAATGCAAAGACAATGAGGGAGGATAAAAGGTGATTACTGGGAACTTCGCAATCAGCAACCTTGATTGTTTCAAACGTGGCATGTTAAACAGACCTACAGTAGCAATAAGAAACTTATTCTGTTCATTAAAAAGTTCATGGACAACTCAAGTGGGCAGGTCATCAATCTTTGAATCTTTGATACAGTGTGAAAAACAGCTGTTTTTAGGCCATTCTGAAACTACTGGCTCTGCTGGGTCCTGAAGGCTGTGTTAAGTGCTCTTGGTTCTCTCTCTCTCTCTGTGTGTGTTTAGGGAGTTCGGATGGCGAGACCCAGAGCTCCCTGAGGTCATCCAGATGCTGCAACACCAGTTCCCCTCGGTGCAGTCCAATGCTGCCGCCTACCTGCAACACCTCTGTTTCGGAGACAACAAGATCAAAGCAGAGGTAACGGAGACGTAATCAGGCCGTGCCGCCGTCCTGAACGCACGCCTTTCTGTGCCTCCGCTCTGCAAAGCACAGCAGCACGGATTCGAGAGGCTAGGTGTTGCTATTTAAAGCACAAAACAGAGCAGGGGATGGTGTTTGTGAAACAGCATGTGTCCTGCGCTGTCACATTACGGCTTGAAAGCGTTCTTCCTTACAGAAAATCGGACCAGCTCAGCCACCTGCTGTTCTTGTGTTTTTTTTTTCACGTAGTGTCCCAGCAGGACTTCTGCTAATTTCAGAATAATTTCCCCCACTTTCACGACAATAAGGGCAAGCCTCCTAAACGTTTCACTGAAGAATGTAACATGTGTGCCATGTGGTAATCCGACATCGCTGGCACCTGTACAGACTGTGAGAGTGAGAGCCTTAGCCTGGTGTGTCTGAAGACATGACCTTTCTGAAGATATGACAACAAAGTCAACTAAGGGCCAGTGCTCATTTTCGCATGTGATATCGCAGACTGGGAGAGAAGTTTGAAGGAATTGACCGTCTTTAATGTCTTTGTCTTGGAACTGACCTCAAAAATGATGAAGTAATTTACATACTGGGGAAACGCCTGATAATAAACCTACTGTACCTGCAGACTTCTGACATTTACAGCAGGAGAGCAAGTGAAAGTTAAAGTTAATTTCATAGTGGAAAGCGGAAAGAAGAAGCTTATTTCTCCTTTTCAGTAGACATAAATGACAGAAATAGATTTGACAGAAACTTCTACTTTCTAGTTTCCTCTTTCTGCTTTCAACAAGCTTTACTTGATCATTTGAAACCAACACATGCTGACACGGTTCCCAATTTAAACAAGAATAAAAATTATTTTTGAAGAATTATTTATTGATTTATTGAAGGAACTTGCTTTATATTGTAAAGGATTAATAAGTGAGTATATGGCAAATTGCTATGTCCCTTAAAGGAATGCGAAGATTTTTTGCACTTTTCTTTTCCTTTCCTCACATTTTTTTGTTCGTTCCACAGTCTCTTTGCACTGATCTGTATTTTCATTATGTTGTTTTGCAAAAAATGTACAGTACATGTACAGTACCAGTGTGCACTTATCAGCTGAAAAGTTGTAAAACAAGGCTTTTCAACACAGGAGAGAGCCAGTTTATCTGTGGTCATCTCTTGATACGGTGGACCGATTCCCCAGCCGCAGCAGGAATCCTCCAAGGGCACAGACAGGAGTCCCACTCTGAGGAGAAGAAAGGGAACAATTCTTTGCTCAGAGCGTGGCTGACATTTCAAGCATGTGTACTGTCCATGTTGTGCCTGTTGATAAGAGCTCCTTCCAGAAAATGTTAGAAGTCTTTTTGCTTGTACCAGGAGGAGAACTAATGGACACAATAAGATGTATTTTATTTGATATGACAGTCCCTGGAAATCCCTGTTTTTTACACTTCCTGGACGAAAGCTATATAAACATCAGGATGAGCATTAATCAGCCTTTGTTATCCAGGATCCATGGACGCAGTACATATGTAAATGTGAGTGTTAACTGGAGACACCAGAAAGCAAAGACCTAATTCCTCTGGGATGTCGGAGAACTGCTGTGGAACAGTTTAGTCGTGACTGGGGAACAGGTTGTTCCAGGAGGAACTTAAATAGCAACGTTGATGGATTGATGGAGCCCTTGTTGTCCTCCAGTTTGCCTAGAGCTGGAATACAAATGATGAGCTATGCTAATGAAAAGACACCATGGTCCCAGTGGCGAGAGCCTGGAGGTGAGCTTGTATCACTCAGTAGTGCTTCGGCACAGTTTGGTGGCTCCCAGCAGAGAGAGCAGAGAACAGAGTGAGAGCAGAGAACAGAGTGAGAGCAGAGAACAGAGTGAGAGCAGAGAGAGCAGAGAGAGCAGAGAGCAGAGTGAGAGCAGAGTGAGAGCAGAGTGAGAGCAGAGTGAGAGCAGAGAACAGAGTGAGAGCAGAGTGAGCAGAGAACAGAGTGAGAGCAGAGAGAGCAGAGAGCAGAGTGAGAGCAGAGTGAGAGCAGAGTGAGAGCAGAGTGAGAGCAGAGTGAGAGCAGTGAGAGAGAGCAGTGAGAGAGAGCAGTGAGAGAGCAGGGAACAGAGAGCAGTGAGAGAGCACAGAGCCACTGTCAGCTAGGCTGCTGGAAACACTCGTGCTAGAGTGTTGTGAAGGTGTTCTGATGGTGTGACGAGATCGCATCTGCATACACAGTATTCACAGTATCTCCATTGGTAAATCAGACACTACTCAAGACAGAATTCTGTCCTAGTCTCAAGATCCTGAGCCGTTGCTCCGCCAAATGTGATACTGCTTTCCAGAACACTAGCTGTATTAATAGCTTCTAAAGGAGCAGCCACACAGAAAGAAAAAACACTATTGACAAGAATCTGAGGCACCTGAGCCCAGTAATTGTTTCCCTAAGACTTAATGGTTTGTAAGGTGGTGGAAATAAACTGAAAGAATAAATATACATGTATCTGAATCTGTTTAAAAACAGTCAGATCAGACGTCAACAGTAAGCCATTAAGTGCTCTCCCTGTGGTAAGAGCTACACTGAATAAACAAACAGCAAAGCTAAATAATTAATTCCAGAACAGCCTGTTATACACCCCATCCATTTTCTATTCAATTCAGGGTCGCGGGGGAGCTGGAGCCTATCCTGGCAAGCAACAGGCTCAAAGCAGGATACACCCTGGAGGGGACACCAGTTTATCACACGGCTGACACAAGTACAAACACACACACACTCACACAAGGGCTGATTTTCCCAGAAGCCAACTAGTCTACCAGTATGCTTTTGGATTGTGGGAGGAAACCCACACGAACACAGGGAGAACACACTTATCCCAGGAGCTGAACCCAGGGCCCCAGTGCTGTGAGGCAGCAATGCTGACCACTGTGCCACAGTGCTGCCCCTATTATGCACTCCTCTAGATTAAAAACAAAATCTTCAGAAGGATGGGAGAGACAGTACTTTTCCATGAATAGCACATCTTTGATCCTGTCGGTAGAAAATGTATTTTTCAAGCTGCGGCATGCACAAGGATACATTAAAAAACCAAGCTGAGATTGCAGTCCCCTTTCTCCCAGTTGGAAGCACATTCTGAACATGAGCTGTATGTGCAAAGTTTTATTTAAGTAAAAAAAAACATACTGTAGATGTCCTGTGTTATTCAGGAGAGTTCATACAAAAATGTTTTGTGTGTCGCTAGTGATATATGGAGTATGTACTGTAAGTGGAATAATGAATAATGGCAAATGGCAAAACACCCTGCTCTGGTTTGCAGAATTTCATGGAGAAGGACAATGGAAAAGTGACCAGATTTCAGCTGTCCTAGGATTTGGTATAGAATTTGCTGTTTTTTATCCCAGATGTTTGCGATTTAACATAAAACACTGTAAAACGCCTTCGTCCTCAGGTTGGAAAAAGTCAGACTGATCCCTTTATCTTAGCCCAGATGTTATAGTCTCCTTGGCGTGGTATTGCGGTTTTCTCCACTGCTGTCTGTGCAGGGGTGGGCTCCAGATTTATCCGAAGGTAGACAGAGCGCACTCATAGGGAGAATGTCTGAGAAGCCTGTGACTGTTCTTCCAACACCGCCGTGTAAAATCAACACAGAGGTATCATGCTTTTATAGATAAGAATGTAATTATTGTCACACTTTGGTACAGTACATCTGGGCCCCTTACTGTTCGGGCCGGCCTGCGAACTTCTTTAACCAGCATTATCTGTTACATGTGATACATTCTATATTAATACATTATAAGAGTATAATGTGTTTGTATTTCACTTCTCAACTGTCCAAGTATGGGAAATGCATCGTTTAAATTTCCATTCAGGTCATAATGATAACTGCAAAAAAATAGAAGCAGCAGTATCAGAAGTCAGAATGCGAGAGTACGTGACAGGCTCCAGATACTGTAGCTGCAGGTTGCTCAGGGACAGGAAGCTGCACAGCCAGCTGTGTTATGATATGATTTGAATACTTATACAGTAATGAGTAATTATCATATATGTAAATGATGTCATTATGTGTCCATAAATTCCAATTCATGAATTACGTCATCTTTCTTCAGATCTAACTCTGTAAGTTAGAGAAAGTTCTCCTTCAGAAATTGCATCATTTATGCACCTTTTTTTTCCCAAAATAAGTTTTGGAAAGAAAGCAGGATCATTGTGAATATTGCGTTATGTAAATCTGTTACCTTGCTTCACTTCTCTGCTAATGCTAGGCCTGATCAAAGGTATAATATTATTCTATTGAAGAACAGAACTGAATACTATCTTGGTGATTTAAAAAAAGGTTCCTTCATGCCATACGTTTCCACTTATCCCATTGCTCTGTGCACCATCTCCACTTCCGACTCTTCTAATTTGATTTGGTTGCTGCAAGTTGTCAAGTTCTACAGAGGAACACAAAATAAAAGTAAAAATTAATATACGACTCCTCCAGATGAGCATGATCTCAATGTCCAGCATAATTTTAAAATTCAGTGAGTTAGACCCGTAAAACCAAAGCTTAAAAAACATGAAAACGTGATTCAGTACAGCAGGATAGTAAATTAATCTTCCCTGCTCAGGAAGCATTGAAAATCATTGCTGATCTTCATATTGTGTCATTGAAACCATGCAGAACGTGCCATTGAGATCACACAGAACACATCACTGAAAGATGAAACCACCAGCAGTGGAGAGAGCGGCAGTCACTCTCTTTACAGTGGAGCGGTGGGGAATAGTCTCTCAGCAGGGTACTGATGTTGAGGACCCTGCCTGGGCAAGACAATGTGGAGACGACGAAGACATCAGCGGACCAACACTGCCCCCCTCCTCATGTATTTATTATTAAAAGTGGTGTCCGGTCTGGGTAAAGTTGGGATTGATTGAATCTGCGCTCTGTCATTAACAGTTTCTGAGTGTTGTTGAAATAATTACAGGAAGTGCTTGTTCTAGGGACGGCAGCACACATTAAATAGCACCCTTTCTCCACAGGACAAGATTTAATTAAGGGTTATTGTAACTGAAGGTTAAACATCCATCAGTAAGGTCTGGGAACCGATTAACATGCTGCTTCAGTGAAAGTGCCTTTGACCTGAAGCAAGCACAGTCTTTTTCCACCTGCACGAAATGCGTGCTGCACTGGAAATGTGGTGAATTTTTTTTCAGATCAGCTGGATGGCACTCAGTGTTTCTTCCTCTGCTTTTCTTTTCAGATAATTAGGGGCAATGAAAAAAATTGCTGTACTTTCCTGCAGTCTTGCTGAGATGGTTCCTATTTTGTTGTGGTTGCTTACAAATTATCTCAGAAAAACTGTTCCCGGTCAAAGAGCAGTAAAATAACTAACTACAGCAAGCCAGAAAGCAGATTATGGTGTTTAGATGTCTGCAAGAAATTGAGGTAGCAAAGGAAGAAATTCACATGTCATTTATTATTAATAGTTGTCAATAACTAATCACTCTTCTTTTGACCTCAGGGGCTTGCATCATGCACAGCTTTGGGTGTTTAGAGAGGATCATTCACATGTGTCACACAGTAGCTAATGTCTGCATTGCAATGACGTCTTACAGCATAAGCTGGCACGTGTGCAGAGTTCATCAGCGGCAGGATTTCAGAGATGTCTTTTGCTGAGAGCACTACAGTGTGAAGTTTGCCATCAGGCTCCAGTCCTACCATTCCAGGGTGGAGTGAAGCTCAGTCACCATCCTGTTATTCCCCTGGTGCTGCAGGAATCTGGGCTGCCTCAGCTCCAGTGCTCTCTCCCAAGTTTCCCCATGACTCATGCAGCTTGTCCGCCATCTCTCCGGCACTGGCCACACCCCAAACAGGGATCAGAATGTCATCCTACAGAAAGGAGCACCTTAGCATCCAGTTCTGAGGCAATTTTAAATTTTAAGTACGATTGAATTGTTTGCCAAAAGTACTGTATGTCTGGCAAAGTCCAAGAATTTTCTTGTATTGACGTGTGCAATAAGTCAAGATGAGTTTGCTGTCACTTGAGCTTCACTAAGACTAGGAACCTTCGGCAAACTTTTTCATTGTTCATGTTTTCTTCACATAAGTTGACAATAGAAGCATTTTCATAGATTCAAATTAGTCAATAAAACAAGCTGTCTGTCCGCCATCTGAGATATACTCACGTCCTACTAAACCCGTCCTAATTAGAAGACAGATATAGAGCAATGTTATTGATTTGTTTTGGCAGATTATACTGAAACGTACATCTGCCGGGCTTTGGCACTGCATTCAGAATCCCATCACTGTCACTTCCCAGCAGCTAATCGCATCTGAAATCCAATAGAAGTAGTTCTGTCCTTAATACAGAGCAGGTTAGATACACCAGCTGTAGTAGTGAGGCAAAAATTTCCTTCCTGTGTATAATCTGCAAATAAGACGTATATTTATGACAGTAATATGTTCATCCGTCTTCCATCCCTCTTGCATACCAAGTAGAGCCACAGCAAGCTGGACAACAGCCTGGCCAATCGGCAAGAGGAGACACAGGCAACTCCATGGATTCTCCTAGGTGCTTAATTAGGCAGTTGCTTCAGAACATGCGAAAGTTTGCAAAGGAGAGAAAGCCACCTGGCCCATCTGTCGCTTCAGGTAGCTAGTGCTTGACAGATCCAAGGATATTATCCGGTCATTTCTTGAAAGAAGCCAAGGTATCGGCTTCAACCACGTGGCTGGGCAGCTTGTTCCACATCCCCACAAGAATCTGGGTAAAGAAATGCAAGTGCCCCTGTTCACAGTTTTAAATACACTTCTCCATGGCTCCCACCTGTGTCCCTGGCTCCTGCTGTCCCTTCTGAAGGAATCAGCTTGGTTTGACTCTGCTAATGGCTTTGCGAAGTAGCGGTATTCAGGGTAAGGGGCAAATAACCAGTAATGTGCCAAATAATTACATCTGTCCCTACCAGTTGCTTTCTCTGGCTTCCCGAAAGCAGATCATTCTTGCCTTAATGACTGGCAAAAGTCACAGTGTGTTCCAGGAGCCTGGTCTGCGCAGTGTAGCTTCTCTTCCAACACGCACCTGTGCCGTGAGAACCGGAAAACGAAGAGATAGATGGCATAAAAAACCTCCTTTCCCGTCTGTCCCTGCAGATCCGGAGACAAGGGGGGATTCAGTTGCTCGTGGACCTGCTGGATCACCGCATGGGCGAGGTGCACAGGAGTGCCTGCGGGGCCCTGAGGAACCTGGTCTACGGGAAGGCGAACGACGACAACAAAATCGCGCTGAAGAACTGCGGGGGGATTCCTGCGCTGGTCCGGCTGCTGCGGAAGACTGCGGACGTGGAGATCAGGGAGCTGGTCACAGGTGAGCTCGGGCACGAGCCGCAGACATGCTGCCGGGACATGACCCACTGGCACGCCTGCAGGGCTTCAGAAAGTCTGGGGCGTCACAGAGAAATGGAAATCATTTTGTTTATTATATTACCTTATAGGAATTACTCCATCATAGAGAGGAGTGAAATTACAAAGAGTATGGGTTTCTTTTTTTTTTCTGGTGCCTGCGAGGCAACTTAAAAAACATAGTCTTGGTTCCGACATTCAATGCAGTTTGTAAAATATATGCACCAAAAGTTAGAATTTGCACTCACAGTTGGCAAAACGAAAAATATTTCATTCGTTTTTAGACCAATATTTATTTCAGATGGTAGGGAAAGCCGCCAAAATGTTGAATTGTTATGTAGTATCGTTGTTATTAAGATGAAATCATATTAAAAACAAAATGAACCAAGAAGTAAATGGTTGTAAGTTTCTGGTGACTCACCTCTCCTTTGAGCTTTAGTCAGGAAATTGTAAGGAAAATTTCTTTGGAGTAAAGTTTCCCTCCCACATTTTAGAAAGAGGTTGATTCAGCATCCACTCAAAATTTACAGCTACAGTCAGTAGTTTATTCATCTGTGTTCATAACTAACAATCTGTGTTCCATACAATTTTATTACTCAAACTGTGTTCTGTGAATAATTCTTATCCTGTGATCTACTGTAGATAAATGCATTGAATATAGTATACAGTATATATAGAACCCACTCTATTACTGTCATTGTTATTGTGACTATTACTGTCCCTTATAATAATATACAAAAACACATTTCTGAAAATGTGTCTTTATTGAGTCAGCTCTAGTGCCCTGAAATAAATACGGGCTCATCTCAATATGTTTAATGGGTAGAGCTTCCTGCTGCCATCGTCTGCGCCACAGAACAACTCCTCCGGTTTGGAGTTGAAGTGGGGGAGGTGTCTTGGTCAGGAGTGACTTTGTCCTGCAGAGCTGTAAGAGCTGTAAACTGATGCCCCCAGGGTTATTTCTGTCTCTGTTTATGATGTCCTTCACCTACCACTCCCCTTTAATTGGCTGTCACTTGAAATAAAAGAGCTATGATTTGTAGCATGAAATAGGTCTGGGGGATGCGTGCATCCTAATTGACTGATCATATTACAGTATCACATCACTGCCAATGGGAAAAAAATGGTCCTGGCAGCTAACAGTTATCACACTAAGAAATCAAAGACTTCAAATTCTGTTTTGTATAACTATGTAAAAAATAAATAAAACAACTTCTCTGATTGGCAACACCCTGACTTGCTGAAAATGAATTCTGTCACCATGTCAAGAGAAGCTCCATTCCCTGTGACTCTCTCCTGAAAAGGTTGAAAGGCTTGATTTCTATATATAATTATTAAAAAGGTCCTGCTGTGGTTGTCTCTTCTCTGGTAATTACTTATCATACCGCTTATCATGGTCTCCTCCTGGTCTCAGATGATTTCACTGTTGTCGCTGAAGAAGTCAATGCGTTAAAGGATCTGGAAAACATCGCCCATGTGCCCTTGTAGGCTTCTCTCAAGACTGAAGAGATTCAGTTCTTTTGGCCTGGTAGTGTAGAACCTTTCCTTTAGGCACAGGAATGTATCTGGTTGTTTTTGTTCTCTGAATGGATTACAGAATGCTTTTGTATGGTGCTGACAAAAATTGTGTACAATTCAAAATTGTAATTGAGGTTTTAGCAGTGCACTGTATAATTTTAATATGCTATTCCTTCATTTACTGTATATTCTAAAACATTAACTATACAGTTTAGCCTAACATTTTATTTGCCCTTTGTATTGCTTCCTCACATTGTCTAGAGGAGACAAATTATCATTTGCACAGCAGTGGTTGTGTTCTTAGCTATCAAACCAGTGTTGTCATGACGTCTGGAATCTTGTCCTCTGGAATCTTGTCCACAACATTTAATAGTTTTGATAAACTCAGAATACAGAACAAAGTAAAACAAAGTCTTTGTTTTTAAAAAACAAAGTCTAATGCACAAAGGCAACTCTGTTGTTGGACTAATGTGAGGATAACACCCGTGTTCAGCTGTGTTCTGCACTGCTGTGTATCACAGGTTCTGCGATGTCCATCCAGGCCTGGCATGTCATCTGACATCCAGGACTATCTTTAAATAACGTAGCCTTGCTTTGTGAGCACCAGGGACAGGATGTGACAGGAACAACCTATAGAGGAACCTCTGACTGAGATGCTGAGTGAAAGAGAGGTTGTAATGTTGCCAAGTCTAAAAGAAGACAGAAAAAGATTTGGGTGCGTGTATCCTACTTGTTTGTTTGTAAGAATAATCAAACAGTTTAAGTAAAAGGCAGATTAATAGGAGGTTGCAGTAAAATAGTGTTAAAACAGCTATGGTTACAATGATCTACGTAGTGTGTGTCTATATACTATGTTAAGTACTGTAGGACATTAGCCATTAAAGTAACTTACTCCAGCTCCTTGTTAATTTAGAAAAAAAAAATAGAAGTAAAAATGTTTCTAATCAAATAATTTGCCATTGTAATTTGTAATGTTCCTCGACACTGGTGTTAACTATATACACATTAAAACTTACTCTATTTTTAAACAGAACAGAACATTTTTCTGTGTTCTAAATTAAAAAAGGAAGAAACAGGTACAAATTTCTTTATATGCTTACCATAGGTTGATTTGCCTATGGATTCAGATATTGTCATTGATTAGAAAAGGCACCCGAATGAAGGTAACTCACATCGACATGGCGTTATTATCCCAAACCATGTTCTTAGCTAAAAATAATCTATTTTTTTGCTAACAACGATATCAGTAGTCTTGCCCTGATTCGGTTTTGAGTGAATGATTTTCGACTGCTGACATTGTTCGCGATGCAGATTAGTTTTGACGGGAGCTGCCGTCTTTTTTCTTCTCGCTCGTCCTCTTGATGAAACTGAAATATCCTCTGAATGACGTCTCAAGGAAAAAGGGGGCTTGAACGTTTATTATCATGGATGAAAGACCAGCTTAAGGAATCAGTCTTTGCTCCTCACGTCATTGTGTTCTTTCATATAGTTAGTCATATTTTTCATTCTCAATTAATCCATTCAATTGACCACGGCTAACATACTTAAGCTTAGCCTTTTGAAGAAATATTGAGAACTGACAGCCTGGCTCACAAGGCATATTTGTACAGAAGAGTCTAGTTAAGTACCCGGAGCAAGGACTCACCGAATTGAGGCTGTGCAGTACTTTTGAATTGAATTAGAAAGTGGAAATATCCATCAAAACTGTGATTACATACTTGGCAACAATGAAACCTGCATATCATATAAGTAACTTTTATAACAGTAGCTTGCTGCCATTGTTAATCCAGTTAAATGCTCATCTTGTCCTTTGTATGACATGATTTTCATGAGGAGAAAACTGGCTTCTTATTTGTTCCCCAGACCATGCTGTCCAATCTCCCATCACCACAGGCTCCTCCCACCTAAATAATGAGATACATTAGAGCTGATTTTATTCTCAACAGCCTGTGGTAGACTGGAATGTGAAATTAGGTTCAAACAGTATCAGCACACATACTGTACACTTGTGGATTCACAAAGCAAAAGAGTATAGCTGATATATTCCTGGGTGCAATACAACATCAGCAAAATGGCATTCTGCCAGTATTCTGAAATGAATGTGGAATATGAAATGAAAAGAGGAAGCTAACAGCTACTGTATGTCTTTGCCACAAAGTAAATAATTAATAAATAAAAAAATGTGTTCAACAGCACAAGTACACAGAGGCTGCAGTACTCCAGAGAAAGCTGTGCTTTAAGAGGTAGTCTGGTCAAATCATTTTTAATTCATCGTGTGTCTTCTAACTTTCACAGTTTTTGCTTCAGCCCACTCATTTGATCTTATGATTAGGGGCCTGTTCATGGGTAAATTAGAATGACCTGACTAATCTGCAGTCCAGGGCAAAGCCTCCAGATGCTGGTCTAGACACTCCAGTGAAGCTGATGTAAAGATTAATTAAGTCATTGGAATGTCAGCTGCTGGCTAATTATAAATTACCCCCAGGTGAGGGGCCATTGACGCCACTTATAAGTTTGAGAATGAATGGATAAACATTAGCATTTCGCCTAGAAAAACCTTATGTTCTAAATTGGTGTTTTTTAAACAGAGGCATAAATAGATAGCCTGGAGAGATGGGGCAGCATGGCAGTGCAGTGGCTAGTGTTGCTGCTTCACAGCGCTGGGCCTGGTGTGAGGGTGCCTGTCCGTGTCTGGGCCCCATCCTGCACCCAGGGTGCTGTCTGTGTGGACTTTATGTGTTCTTCCCATGTGTGCATAGGTTTCCTCCCACAGTCCAAAGGCATACTGGAAGGCCAATTGGCTTCTGGGAAAATCGGCCCTGGGTGTGAGTGTGTGTGTGTTTGTGTCTGTGTGCGGCGTGCGATGGTGCCAGACACTTTCTGGGACTCTGCATTCGATTAAGCGTTTAGAAAATGGATGGGTGGATAAAATGGAGAGGACAACTGGAAGCTGAATCGCACGATCAGGATATTGGAAAATGTGTAAACCTGAGGAAGAAGGAGTCACTGTGTAGCCACACACATTACACTAGGTTACGCTACTGAAGACCTCCACACATGCTGCCGAAGGTGGTGCATTTGATTTGCTGAGCAAACAGATTGGCTCTGCTGGACCTGGCTGTCTGGAGCCGAGCGTGCAAGTCACCGTTTTTTTTTTTACTAGTACTAAAACATTTTCAGCACAATTCAAAGCAATCAATAAAACCCACTTTGCATGTCATTGGGAGGTGTAATGAAACCAGCACAGCCCACCACAATAACATGCCTCCCCGTCAGACACTGTACTGTACTGTATATACAATCTGCCAAGACAGACAGGAATTCCCAGGTCATTCACTCTCTATTGCTGCAGCTAACATTTTAACCTTTGGGATGAATTGATGGAATGATGACTGGATTTCTGAAACAGTCTACTGACTCTGGCTAGTTCAGTTTCTGAAATCTGGC